CCCGACCCATGTACAGGCTAACTCCACCTTTCATTGCATTAGGCAGCCACAGTGAAGCCTGTATTAAGCGGACCCCATATTAGGCGGACACCCTCTATTAAGTAGACACCAGCTGGAGTCCCAAAATTTTCTCCCTACATTCAATTTACTGCAAAATAAACCTGCATTCAGCGGACACCTCTGTTAAGCGGACAGGGACGCCAATATTAAGTCATTTTGCTGCACAAAACTCGCAATAAGCGGACATTTCAAGGGCTTTTTACTTCTGAAAGCTCAGCTCAGATTCCTTTAACATTGTTCAGCGATTTCGTTTTAAAACTAAGTGGATTATTTCAGACTGATACGTTGACTGACTGGACATTGTGCTATGAGCGTCTCTGATCTCACACTGTGTTACACTGAGTTACAAAAGGGTTAATAATTAACTATCATTGCACAATATATTAGAACCTGTTTAGAGCGGACATCCTGTATTAAGCGGACACTAGTAAGGGTCCCAGGGGTGTCCGTTTAATACAGGTTTCGCTGTAACTGTATTGCTAATCTCCCTGGATCATATGTTAGTCCATCAAGGGTTAACCATAGCCTTTGCTGCCTGCCTGTACCCATTTATACTCCTAGAGCTGACAACACCTTACCTTAATCCACTGGTCTTTCCCAACTCCAGTGACTACGACAGTACAAGAGTTCTTTTCTAACAACGAATCAGCTACAGGCTCTACGGGACTTGCACTGGTGCACACAGCAACAGGTACCTTCCACTGAGAGGAATCTAACAACAGAAGGTTTTACTCGACATTAAATTTTAACTAAAACCATGAGAAGATGAGGAGTACGAGAATAAAACCCCTATATAGACCTTATTTCCAAGGCAATTCCCCTGAAGGTATTTTAAGACTTTCTTCGGATTCAGAAATCTCAGGTGGAGCTAAAAAAAAGGGAATTGCGTGACGCGAATTTTACTCACGAGAGCAGTCCACACGGCTCTACAGTTGGCATTTTCATGTATTTTCCATTTTCCATAGGGCTCTACAGTTGGCATTTTCATGGATCTTTCTTCTTTCGCTAAGACATCTCTACAACGCAAGTGTAAATATTATCCGCTGTGAAACGTCGCTGTACTGATTCAATTAATGTCCCTGATTGGTTAATGCCCGGTTTTGAGTTTTCGCGTGAAAAGTAACTACCAATCAGAGCACCTCAGTAGGGCTAAGTTATCAGAATGGAATTGTTTGAATCGAATCTCAGACGTCTTTCTCGTTAGGGGTAGGGGAGGAGGAGAATTGAACGGGAGAAGATAAGTCACGTCTATTTACTCACTCTTTTGTGCCACCATTTCTTTACCTTTTGTTGCACCATCTGCTGAAAACTTCCTCTGAGATATAGTGAGCTCCATCGAGTCTCCTTTCTTAAATAAAACAAATGATCAGATCAAACTCAGTTTCAAAGAAAATTACGTATTCCTATGATAACGATTTCCATTCAAGAGGTTTCAATACGAAAAGTCATCGCGATTTATACCTGTTCTGCAGTTACAGACAGCACCGGAAATCCCATTTGTTTTGTCCATGTGTCCATGACAGCAGCCACAGGTTTGGAACTGGCATGAGACAGGCTGGCCCACAAATCATCTTGAAAAAGAAAAACACAACTAACTTTTGTTGCAAAAAAAAAAAAGAAAGAAAGAAACATACATGTTCTGGATAAACACACATTAAAAACAATGGGCGTTAATTAAAACTGGAACCAAAACTTTGATTGCAGCAGGACTCGACTTTGCTGTGGTGCATCGAAGAAAGTTTGTTTTGTATCCATTTTGGTATCACATAGGCTCCTAAGTAGACCTTTACGTCTGGGTCATCTTTATAAGGGTCTATTTCGTACGCTTGAAGAAATGCAACCCAGTGTAGAGACAAAAATGTACTTTAACTAAAAAAGATCGCAAGGAAATGAGGTGGATTCACCTTCCGCTTTTCTTTTATGTCACTGTGACCAAGTAGTCAGGTGACAAAAAGTTCAACTTCAAAACCTGATGTGTTCACGATGGCTTGCTGTAGAACTAACTTCTACAGTAGTGTAACGTTGTGTGACAAAGAGAAGGTCGGAACTGGACGAAACTAACCTGTAGAGGCGGCGCTGTATTCAAACTTTTTCAGGTAGTGATTCAGGCCTTTCCTAAAGTCCTTAAAATAACAACAACAACACCCTTATGTGTACCCGTACTTGCAAATTAAAGTTACTGTACATTTTGAAGGTAACAAATATTAAATTTAGATAGGGTACTGGCTGCCTGGAATAAACAAAAGGGGCTGCTGGTGTCAAGAAGCCAATTAAGATATAATAAATGGATAAACTGAAATAAAGGTAGATGGTTTAAATTATATGCAATGTAGCTTGGAGCTAAAAACATAAAACACCGACAGAAATGGTTAAGGTCAGAATATGGAATTAATTTAGATCTTTTTTCATAATTTCTTCTACGTTGTAGTTCGTTAACTATTATTATGAGGTACTCTGCGTGAGCTTACGTACTTGTAATATTTTACTCCACCCAAAACTATTGATATTGTTGGCTTCTAGTACTAGCTAATTTGCTTTTTAAGATACGTGTCACCTAAACCGATTCCGTCGTTTCGTTGTGTGACAGAAAGACCTTTACTGGCGGCTGCAGTGTGACAGATCAAAGCTAATTGTGGCAACCAGTAACTGTTAATGACAGTTTGTTTGTTTGTTTCTTTTCTTTTCTTTTTTCTTTCTTTCTTCTTCTTCTTTTTTATTTTTTTGACAATTGTCCTTATTCTCAACGCCTACCTGTTTGGAAATGGAATTCTAAGAAAGAAATAAGATTTTCGGCTAAAACTTTACCGTCAATTATACTCAAATATCACCGGAAATTTACGGTCCATTTGATTTGATTTGATTGCTCCCGGAATTTCTAGAATGTTCGGTTGAATGGTTCGCATTTCGGAAATTCAAAAACTTTCGGATTTTGCCGAAACCTACATGTACCGTACCACTTTCCACCATTTCGAAATTTCGTTAATTTTTGGTCCACGCCGTTAATTTCTGGCAAGAGATAAAAATCTTGCTAAAAGGCTTACTTGATCTCCTACATATTGATGCAGCATTCTGATAATTGAAGCGCCTTTGTTGTAAGAAATCGTGTCAAAAATTTCCTCTATCTCCCCTGGGTGTCCAACTGGAACCTGCATGTACAAGATAGTAATTTCATCAAATTCAGACCTCTCTGGTATCTGCATGATAATAGGAAGTTTACTT